GTAGCTGTTTGTATGTATTATGATTATTTGAGGTTAGAAACATCCTTGCATTTTAAAGTGCTATATAAACACGTACAAAGATGTTCTAGCCCAGAAAAGTCTTAAAAATCAAGATATGGTGTTAATACTCAGTGGAAATAAAGGCATCATTGCTCTAATGTTACTCTACCATAAGTTTTGCTGTTCTGTATGATGAACACATATAAACTGAGTTTTTAAAGTGAGTTTTCTTTACAAGATTTCTTTTTTGTTGTGCAGCTTACTCCCTTGTAGTGTTTTAACTGAATTAATTAATGCTGATTTCATACTGCATCTGCTCACAGACCAGTTGTTCTTCAGTTGAGCAATTAAATTTCTAGAGGCACTGATGCCTCAAGATATTTCCTGTTTCTCAGTTAACTCAAGCGTTTTGAACTTAAGCAGCTTTTTCCACGCAGAAATATAGCTAATATAATCAGTTTCACAATTGGTACCAAATGTGGCTCTCATTTATTTAAGCACTGGCAGATGTATCATATTCTTATTATGTTGCAGAGCCTTGGTTTAACTGTGAATAAGTGGTGCTTGGGACTGTGGGTGTGTTGTACAGACATCCACACAGTTTATTGGCATCTTTTGCATAGGGTAATGTTCAGGTGGGGGGCTGAGTCTGAAACAGGGTGGCTGGTTAGTTACTGTCTGGATGTTGATGTGAGTCTCCGTTGCTTGTGACGCTGCCTTCCGACAGGTCAGATGAGACTCTCCGAAATGTCATTCGAGTGAATTCTTACAGTCTGGCTGGGCGCTTTTTCCCTGCGACCTTTACACTGCACACGTTGCTATTGATTATATTAAATTACTTCCAAAATGTCTTCTAACCATCTTAACTATGTGTCCTGTCGACATAACTGTCCTATATGACTATTTCTGCATCAAAAGAAAGCAATTTTACTGACTGTTTGTAAGTATCTTAGTTATATCCGGCTTGGTCAATTTTACAGCAGGAACTGCTGGGGGAAGTAGCTGGAAATGACAGATTTTTCCGCCTGGGATCTTAACCCATATGCTTAGGCATACAAGTAGTGCTTGTCAACTAGCCTGTGCACAGCAGGAGCTGCCAGGAGAATTTCTGGGATTTTTTGAACTTTCCACCTGGAGACGTCCTGTAACATTTAGTTAAGTACTCTGTCATGAAGGCTGCTACGGGTTTGTTTGGTCATTGTGTCTCTAGTCAGTCTGTTACCTCATCTATGCGGAGACCAGTTGGGAAGATCCAGGATTGCACAGGGAGCTCTGTACGCTGCATACGCATACAGGCACAGCCCTGATCCCCTGTTACACCACAGTTGTGACTTGAATTTCCTCCTTATATCACAGCTGTAATCGTTCCTCTGATTCTGCCTCAGAGGTATTTATTGTATAGTTTCAAAATGTTTGGGGATTTATTTTATCAAGATGGATGTACTCACTATATAAGCTCTTGAATAACCAGATAGAAACCCTTGTCGCCAGTTCCCCTTGGCCAGTGAATTTGTAGTGCTTTGGGCAAGTCATGGTGTAGTAGCTTTTATCTTTCATGTTTTCTCAAGTCTGATATTTAGTTCTTAGTGTTATGAATGCTTTTTTGTTTTGTTTAGGATCTTCTACATGTGGCTTGGAGATTCTCTCCCGTTGTTTTTTCTTCCCTCTTTAAATATAGCTGTGTCAAAGCTGTAGGAAAGCTGAGCTTTCTTGCCTGATGGAAGCGCAAGCAATGATACCATCTTGGTGAGGAGGGTGAATTGTTTATGGAATAAGTTTGTCAACTAAATGTGTTTTGAGGAGGTGACGTTCTGTTTCTGGCATTACCAATGCATACTGTTAACTCTTAGACTCAGAGAGTATCTGAAGAGGTTAAAGTTTCCTTGCTGTCGAGCCTTTCTGGCTTGATTATTATAAAATCATAGAGTCATAGAATGGTTTGGATTGGAAGGGACCTTAAAGATCATCTCGTTCAAACCCTCCTGCCACAGGCAGGGACACCTTCCTCTAGATCAGGTTGCTCAAAGCCTCAACCAGCCTGGCCTTGAATATCTCCAGGGATGGGGCATCAACTACTCCTTTGGGCAACCTGTTCCAGTGCCTCATCACCCTCATTTCTTCCTTATATCTAATTGAAATCTACTCTCTTTCAGTTTAAAGCTATTGCCCCTTGTCTTATCATTATATACCCTTGTAAAAAGTCCCTCTCCAGCTTTCTCGAAGACCCTCTTCAGGTACTGGAAGGCTGCAATAAGATCACCCCGGAGCCTTCTCTTCTTCAGGCTGAACAGCCCCAACTCTCTCAGCCTGTCTTCAGAGGAGAGGTGGCTCCTATGTGACTATGAAATAAACACAGAACAAGGAAGAAAACTGAAAACACTGAGTTTCTTTTGGTTCAAGAGAACATTTGTTGTTATGAATTTTTTTTTCTTTGGGTTTTCTAGATCTCTAATTCTTAGACTCCTCTCTACCCTCATTGCTTCCTGACCATCATGTCTACTTTTTTTATAGAACATAATTATTGGAAGTGGCTCTCATATTTAAGCAAATAGAGATCTCCATCAATTCAGAGATGTGTTTGGAATGATAATCCATGTACTATGTGTGGTGTACCAAAAATATAGCATGAGGAGCCTGTTTTTTGACATCTGGAACATCCGTTTCTCAAGTTTGGGGAAATACAGTTGGAGCAGAGGTAGCATACCTCCCACAGCCCCACAATGTTCCCTTATCACAGAGTCATAGAATAGAATAGTTGAAATTGCAAGGTTTGTCTGGAGATCATCTTGTGTAACCTCTCATCTAGTCCATTTTTTAATGTCTTTGATATAGGAGACTGTAAAGTCTGCCTGGCCAACTGTTTCAGTGCTTGAACAACCTCACGGTTTAAAAAAAAAGCAAGAGAGGAGGGAGGAAGTTCGTGTTTGTCTTATGTTTAACCAGTTTCCTGTATTTCAATTTGTGCCTCTTGTCCATTCACTGATAAAGTTCCCCTGAGCCTTCTCTTTTTGGGGCTAAACAATCCCAGCTCTGTCAACCTCTCCTTGTAAAACAGATGCTCCTTTAATTGTGTCCACAGCCCTTTCTGGACTCATTCTAATATGTCCATATGTCTCTTGTGCTGGGGAGCCCAGAATTGGACACAATACTCCAGATGTATCTCAACACTGCTGAGCTGAGGGGAAGAATCACCTGTCTTGACCAGCTGGTGATGTACTTCTCTATGGTCAACTTGTCGTCCACCAAGACCCCTATCGTTTTTCCTACAAACCTACTTTACAGCTGGTTGGCCCCAACACGTGTTGATGCATGGGATTATTCCTCCCCAGGTTCAGCATTTAGTGTTTCCTCTTGTGGAACTCACTGAAATTCCTCTGCCCGTTTCCCCTGTCTGTTGAGGTCCCTCTGAAGGGCAGCACAGCAGTCGGGTCTGTCAACCACTCTTCTTAGTTTTTAACTTCACCTCTTTGTTAGAAACTATTTAATCATCTTCGGCTTCAGAAGGAGAAAAGTATATTTTTCAACATTTCTTGAGGGTCTTTGGTATGAAGCTCTGTGTAATACCATGATGAGACTGCCTCACCATTTACAGTGGATAGTTTGAAGTTATTATTGCACTGCAAGTCTAATTCTTTTCAATTCCTGGCCTAAGCCACTAGATAATCAAGTATTATTTAGTAACTCTCTTTAGTGCTACATGACAGAATAGTTGTGCTCCTGCTCTCAAAAAAAGGAGACTTTCCAACAGATTGAGTCATATATAGATTGCCCAACTGTATGCCCTCTTTAGAATTTAGATATGTTCTGTAAAAAAAAATAAATATATGTATCTCCTTCTTCATGTCATAAATAGATATTAGGTGGAGTAATCTTCATATTTTTCTTAAGAATAGGGTCAATATCTCTTAGATTTGCTGCTTTAATTGCAAATGTTAGGGCTTTGTTAATTCAATATCACCATTGCTTTGTTTAAAACAATGGATATGATATATCGTTCGGAAGAGTCATTCGTATCGTGAATTTATTTTAAGCAACGTTTGACATCACAGATACAATGATGAGTTAAAGTCAGTGTCTCTCAACCTATATTGCTTGGAACAGAAAATATTTTGTTTGCACAAAACTACTTTTGCTGTGCTGCATTAACCTGCCATTGCATTTTCCTTTCTATCTCCCTGTTCTCCATGTCCTCATTTGCCTGTCCACCTGCCAAAAGAGCAAAACCCAAAGAGCAAGGCAAAATCCAAACCCAAAGGTTGAGTAAGTGTTCTTCTGTGATTGCATCAATAGTCATATTTGTGTTGCACTTCATTCTTACGTATGGTGCATACAACAAATGAGAAGCTGGAATTTATCTTTGGAACTTTTAGTGGTTTTTAAAGTAGTCTTTGCTTTTTCTATTTTTTTTTTTTTAAGTTATTTTGCTTTAGCCCTTAAAAGCCAAAGCCAGTCTGTTTTTATAATCCCTGTCTCATATACTCCTCATCTGAAGGACCTTTAAGGGGAAAGCGTTTTTTACGACATTATCTGCAAGAACTCATGTTACTGCAGTAACATCCTGAGTGCTCTTCTGGTTCTCTGGTTCTTCTCTCTGTATTCTCGTATAGCTGGAGTCACTGTTCTGGACTCAGGCCCTGTGATCTCTTCGGAGCACCTCAGAACTGTTTTTATCTTCTATTCAGTATTGAAAATGAAGATGTTTGCAATGCATAAACAGAATCCATACAAAAACTACATTTCTCCAAGTGTGCATAATATGTTTCTACGTTTGATGGCTGCTTCTTTTGACTGCTGATGATAAATTTGTTCATAAGTTGGCAAAAAATTTAGTCAGCATTTGGCATATGCAGAAGATGGACAACAAACAGTTACAGGTTTAGGATTAAATTATATCTTTTTTCCCTGTTCTTTCAAGAAACAGAAATGAAGGTCAGCTGTTAATAATCTATTCAAGTTCTATATGTGCCAGATAAAAAATGAATGTATTTTCTGTATTTCAGGGAAGTCTGAAGAACAGTCGGAAGATTTCACCCCAAGAGTTTATTCAGGAATTAAAATCTGGGTCGACAGATGAAAGACTAGTCACTTGCTTAGAATCTCTCCGTGTGTCCTTGACCAGTAATCCTGTCAGGTAACATAATTAACATATATTGCAAAGATTAATCATATTCTTATTTCATAATGGCTTAAAATTAATGGATCTGTAGACGTGCATGTTTCAAGGTTTTCCAGTTAATGAATGTTTATGCGTTAGTGAATGATTGTACCTTTTTTCTTTTTTTTGCATTGATTATGTATCTTCTGTAGATCTATTTTTCAGTAGATTTCACTGATCTGTACAAGGTAATGCTAAAAGAATGTAAAACAAGTGTAGTGCAGAGCAGTTTGCTTTGTTTTCTAGTGCTAAATAGTCAGAAGGTTTTTTTATAATTTTTATTTTTGAAATATTCTCTTAATTCTTTATTTTTTTAACTTGCTTTGTCAGGGTGATCAGTAGTGGGAGGTAGACACCTTGGTGTAAGTTTCTTAGCCGGAAAAAATATATACTTTTAATTGTGTGCTCCTCCTTCTGTCCAGTGTGCTTTAGGCTTTCTTCCTTGTTGACTTCTAGTAATTTTTGCTGTATATGTGGGGTTTTCTATATAGAAAAGAGTATAACAGTAGTTTTCCTGTGCTTTTTCTAAAAAAGACTGACTCTTCAGTAATCATAACTCTAACACTGATATCAGTCTATAAGTTTAATTTGGATTTAATCCATGCAGCTTGATTTGTGGATGCTGGCTTTATTTTATTAAATTATATTTTCTGCTATCCTGCTTTACTTACCACTTTTTTGGTTCAGAGCTCCTATTTAAGCCAATGGTTGAACACATGATTTTGGGAAACCATTTTGGGTTTAGTTCAAAATAATGCAAATAAAATGTTTGGGATGCTTATGATGGGATGTGATTAAAAAGGATTAGACAGCTTTCTTCTTTCTGCATCTGGATGTTTGCTTCTTTCCTTCTATTAATTAGTTTTTGAATTGGATTGTCTTATTTAAAAAATGGACTGGTTCACATGGGAAGACACAGGCTTTACATTAACTTGAGTTCTTCTGACATAGGATTTTGCAGAAGTTATACTTTCTCCATGAATGTGAAGCTACTTTTTGATATAGTATTACTTCCCTTTCTTTATTAAAAAAAAAACCCCAACAAACAACAATTCACAACCCCAGAGATGTTTTCATTTACACTTACCTTGATTTAACAAAGAAAACTTTGCTTGTTAGTGTGCATCTGGAAATAGAAACACAAAATGTATGAAATGTGTGACAGTTTGTTTGGAGCAATCTCTTCTCTCTGTTCTTGATATGACTGGATAGTTTCATCTTTTTGTATGTGATCCACTTTGCTGTCCCTTTCCCACACACCGAGAGAAAAGTTAATCCCCTGTCCTGAAAAACTAAATCAAACCAAAACCCATGATCTTGGTGAGGTGCTAGTTCTGCCTGACAGCACATTGTGCTGTGATAGGACATGACGGGGAGAGGAATATGGAGAAATGGTATCAGAATAAGGAGGCCAGCTGTGAGAGAACAGTGTTGGTTTATGCTTGAGACATTTGGTAGAGATCTCAAGTTGAAATTGTCTATTATGTTGTAATAGAGCATCTGATCTATACCAAAAGTCTGCTGAACAATATCTGGAAGAACAAAGTACAGAAACTTAGAGGTTTTACAGTAACTAAACATTAAGAAATTTTGGACTGAGTAAATGTTTCACTGAGTAACGAAAGGATTAGAAATCTGTTGATATATGTTAGGAGTACAGGGAAAAGAGAAAGTGGTTTTGTGCAGAGCGAAATGGAAAAACAAATGTTTTCATTTTAATAAGCTTAGTGTGTTTTATGTCAATCCTTCAAAGCATGCTAGAAGGGTGTGATGCATTGTTGATATTTAAATATTGCATTGATACTTTTGAGAGATCAGTTTTTTTTTAACTAATTGATCCAAACAGTTCTAGATTGCAATGCTGACTTTAGCTTTATTCAGCCAAGTACAGTAGGTATAAAATTTAGCAGTTGAATCTAGGTCAAAACTTGACCATAATTTATTAAAGTTTCATTTCAGTTTGAAACATTAAGTGGAACATAAGAGAAAACATAGAAGAACTATAATGCTTGGATTGGACTGAAACTCATTATTAAGTTAATGGATAGCCTAAGAATAGGTCTAAATTTGAGAGGTTCGAATTGGAAGAAAAGTGACTGTGGCTTGCAAAAACACCAGAGAAATTTAAGTAGGCAGCAGTGTCATTAAAAATAAAAAAATAAAAAAAATCTCTGCTACTTGACCGACCATGAATGTGTTTTAGTCTACAAATCAAAAGAAGGATCACAACCAATAGAACATATGGGTTCTGAAACAGTCTTCTGATGTATCAAGTGGTGCTGAAAAAGACTGTTAAGGTAGACCTCACTAGGCTTAAACAGAGCATTTTAAAGTAGTCTTAGTAAAATAATTAAGTTCTTCCTTAAGGCTTATGTACAAAAATAGCAAAAACCTAACAGCAGCACACTGTTCTTCATACTAAAAAATTGTGAACATTTTTAAACCACTTTTCCTTCTTTCTAATGAGTAACAACAGTTGATTTTCATTGGATGCAAATATTGGTGACCTTGATTTTCCTATCAGCAGCCAGATCTTTTGATTAAGAACTTACTTTGACACATTAATACTGAGCTCAAGTCCAGCTGCTATAAATCTATGATTATTTTTAACTTCAGCTTCATGTGATATGGACAACGAGAAATAACTGATGAAACTTTGGGATTTTATGTTGTGCATGTATAATACCTAAGAATAAATTTATGCTTTTTTAACAGGATGAGAATTAAATTTAGATTGGATCTAGCCTGACAATCTTCACATTTGTGTGCTGTGATTTTTTGACAATGTATAATTTAGGACTTTTTGCTGTTTTTCCAATTACTAAACTTTAATCATCTGAACTTTTAAATCTCATTGACATTTCAGTTTCTAATGCAAGAACTGGTTCTACAACATTGTTTTCAATTAGTTGTTTTTAAAAGATGTATTTTTAGTTCACAGAAAATCTGAATCAAGTGACATTGAGTAGTTTGATCCTGGTACTTAGAAAAATGTATTGAAACCTATGACTTACTGCAAAAAGTAGTATTTATTTTCCATCAGTATAAAAAGAAAGCCTCCAAAGGAAAATACATCCGCTTATTGTGGTCACTGTTTTTCAGGTAAATAAATGGGATGTTTTTACTTCACAGTTACCAACACAGTTCATCAAAAATGGTTCAGTGATCTGGCTGTACATAGTATTACAGATAACTAGTTACCTACAACTGTTTCTCTCCTTTTGTATAATAGTTGCAACAGATTTAGCTCTTTTCATTAAGAGGACATTTTTAATAAGTAGAAAATAAGAGCACTGATAGCTTGTTTTTTTTTGTCAGACTGACAAAAAGTTGAGTGTTTGCTCTGCATAGTGTAAGTAATCTTTGTTCTTTTGTGGAAGCAGAGGAAAGGGCAGTAATAATGCAACAGTATTTTAGACACTTGATCATGCTCAGCCTCCTCAGCTGCTGGATGTATGACAAAGTGGCTGCTCACAATTCCATCTAATACAAAATGTGCTAAGGAATGTCTAGTAAAGTCATCTTTAGGTCAGATATGACCGCCTATACCAAAAATCATTGACAGTTATTTGCCTAATCTGTTTCAGGACAAAAAGCCCATTCAGGACGGAGAAAATCTATTTTTTATATATGTTTACTTTTAGGGGAAAAAACCTATAAAAACGTCTGATCTGGTTCTTTCTTCCTATAACTTTGAAGTCCATTACAGTTCTGTATCTAGCAGATAGGAAGAGCCGTTTAATCCCGTCCTATGATGGGACTTCAACTACTGTGTGTTTCAAAAGAGCTATTGCATCTCCCTTGTGTTATTTCCAACAAAATAGCTTATTTGTCACTAGTAAGGTCCCGCTCCTTAGATAGGAGTATATAAGTATTCTGGTTGCTATTCAAAATTGGTGATAGATAAATTTTACCCAGTGTGTACAATGGTGTGTAAATAGGCAAAACAAAGAAAACAGTGGAGAGACTGTAATGCAAGTAAAGTGGATGTTGTAATTTTTTTACCAATTCTGATCAATGTCTTGATGTTGAATTTCTGATGTTGCAGAATGAATGCTTCCTTTTCACATAAAAGAGTTTATTTTGTTAATACACGGCAAGGGATTTCCTCATCTTAAACTTTTTTTAAGTAATCATTTAAAGAATGCACAGAAACTGTTGGTACTACACTCACAACAGAAACGTGTGTTGATGATGAAGATAGTGAAAAGTATTACATCTTCATCATGCTAATTATATATCTGTTCTAAACAGAGATGGTTTTGTAATCAGTTAATAGATAAAGGTAATATGCTAATTTTAAAGTGGAAAAAGCGTGGAAGAGATATCCGTTATGAAATAATTTTCTGTCTTGTTGGCCAAAGACAATAATAAGAGATCCAAGGACTTGTCTTATGGCAGTAGCATGGAAAGTTGATTGAATTTGTTAGGAAGTATTTCCTGCCTCTTACAGAAAGAGAAGAGTCTTTGAGTACTTGTGAGTTCATTCCATAATTGAACATTATAACTTCAGCCTTTATAAATGGAATTTCCTGAGCATATCGTCTCTACAGTTTCCCTGCTTGTATATGTGTTTTTGTTGCTTCTGCATCCAACTTGTCCTTCCTCCAGTGGGATTTGGTCAGAAATTTGAAGTTTAAAATATCTGTGCCTTACACAGGCAATGTAGTCTAAAGAGCAAAATATTCCTTCTGTTATGACTATGAATGACAGTGTTGTCCATGAACTTTAGGGTTAGGTAATAGATCAAACGTCATAGTTTCAGCAAGACCAACAGCTACTATCAAATGGACGGCGGCAGTACTGCTGTCAGTCGTGCAGTTACTCGTGTTTGACATGGAGGGGTTTTGAGCAATAGTCAACAGGAGTGTGAAGCAGCTGTCTCCTGTAGCAACAGTGTGCCTGGGTTTAACCACACCAAAAGATAGAATCATAGAATGGTTAGGGTTGGAAGGGACCTCAAAGATCATCTAGTTCCAACCCCCCTGCCATGGGCAGGGAAACCCTCCACTACCCCAGGTTGCTCAAAGCCTCATCCAACCTGGCCTTGAACACTTCCAGGGATGGGGCATCCACAACTTCTCTGGCCAACCTGTTCCACTGCCTCACGACTCTGAGTGAAAAATTTCTTCCTTATATCTAATCTAAATCTGCCTTCTTGCAGTTCAAAGCCATTACCAGTAGCTGAAATTTTAAATTTTTGTTGTGTTCACTTGGAGATATTTGTATGGATTAATATCTTAGGCAGCCACTTCTGCAATTCCTTTAGGCATTTATGCCATTTATGGTTATATTCTTATGGTTATATTCTGACCTTCCAAGGAGATCCTAGAAGAGTGTGTAGTAGAAATTTATTGCTTTTCTTCCCTTCCTTTGCAAGGGCTTTTTAACTACAATTCTATACCAAAGAATGTATAATTGTTAATTTTAAAAATAAAATTACTAAATTTAATGGCTACGGTATTTTTTTTAATCTTCTTTGATTTAAGGTTATCTAATTGCTTCAGTGACTGAAGGGACTGCCTCTTGAGTGAAGAGTTGATTTTGGATTTTAAAATTCCAGTTATACTGTTTTTATTTATGCTGACAATTTTCATTACTCTTTGAAATGTCTTTTTTTTTTTTTTTTTTAATATCTTTTTTCTTTCTCCCTAGTTGGGTTGAAAACTTTGGCCGAGAAGGTCTGGGGCTGCTGTTGGATGTTTTGGAAAGATTGGTTGAGACGAAAAAGTAAGGATGATTCAATATAAAATTGCCAGCTTTTCTTAATATATAAACAGCATTTAATTACACTAAATTTTTTTATTTATTCAGCCAGGACAAAGTTGTGAAGAGGAGTCAGCATAAGGTTATACAGTGTTTGAGAGCCTTCATGAATAATAAGGTATGGGATGTTATTTAACCTGGAAATCTAAATTGCTACAGTTGAGTCAGATAACATATGTGACCAGTGGGTGTGAGCAATTTGGAGAGTGATGTGTTGGTCAGCTGTGGTTTGACGTTCTTTCTGCTGCTGCTTCCTCTCTGTGTAAATAAAGACTAGTGTAAACTTTTGGTGCTGATTTGCCCTTATTACAGAATAAATGACCTGTTTTGGACTTTTCTCTCATTTATTTTTTCTAATTAAGTGTTTGATGGACTTAAATGTCATTTGAAATGTTTACTTGTGGGAACTGCTGCTGTCTTAATATAGTAATGTGGATTTCCTCCAACTCTCCTTACAACTGTTCTTCTGTTGTTTAGTATGGATTGGAACGAATTTTGGGAGAAGAGAGGAGCCTTTTGTTGCTGATCAAAGCAATTGATCCCAAGCAAACTAACATGATGACGGATATAGTTAAACTCCTTTCTGCAATGTGCATTGTTGGAGAGGAAAACATGTAAGTACCGTATTTAGCCAGAAATAGTAAGGTAATTTTAAGATATCCAAAATTATAGTCATACCTGACTGAAAAGCTAAAATTTTCAGCTTAGGTTTGAAAGTAATACTGTACTATATTTTCAGTATACGTTTTTATTATGGTCATATCAATAAGAGTTTTCCTTTTGATATGTGGATGTACTGGTTAGATGGAAGTAGTTAGGCAGCCATGCTTTTGTTAAAAATTTTTTAGCATTACTTTTAAGATATCTTGACCATTGTAATCCAGTAAGTCATTCTTTGGCTACAAAAGTCTCCAAAGGAAGCAAGTAATGCTTAAACCTCCTAAATTTGTACGCAAGAAATTGAAGAGGATGAATACTTTGGCAACATGGCTCTTCAGATAAGAAATCAACAGCAAGGTTAAATATCTCTCCTGAGTGAAATCCTTTTCTTTTTGTACAGCCTTGAAAAAATTTTAGAAGCTGTTACATCAGCAGCAGAGGAAAAGAATGTTGACAGATTCTCTCCTATTGTAGAAGGTCTTCAGGATAACTCAGTTCAGCTGCAAGTAAGCAAATTTTTTTCACAAACCTCTGCAACAAGTAAAAAAAATTACTTATTTTTCTATGTTGAACAAGTTATTACAACAAAAAAGAGAAGGGATACTGTTTCAAATAAGGGTCAAATTTTGGTATGTTTTTTAAAATGTATTATGGAAAGATTCAGTGTTGAGAAACACAGGGATGTTGCAGATTAATTTGTTGATTTCTGTTCACCCAAATTGTATAAACTTTGGTAGTTAAATTTATACCGCCTTTTAAAATAAAGCATGAGTTCTGTATTCAGATGCACAAATATTATCTAACTTCTGACAATATTTGCTGAACCTTTAAGATTAATAGTAGTAAAAACCCCAAGTTTTTAGGCAACAGCTTTTTATAATTAATGTTTAAATCAACAGGAAATCTGTCCCTCATGCCCGTGTTATGATTTCATAAAATTGCACCTAGAGTCTGAGGAGAGAAATCTTTCACATTATTTCCAGTTTTCAATTTGTTTCAGCTGGATATAGAGTTTACTGCAGAAAGATGCAAGGTATTAGAGTGTGTTTGAATGATCATTACAAATCATTGGTCTAAGAGTATAAATATTAACTCATATCAATTTTTCATATAATTCAGTGGAACTGAATGTTGTTCATAGTTATCATTCTTCGTGAATATTACAAAAGTGGCAACAGATGAATCTTAAGTTTGGAAGAACTGATTGTGTTACTCAGATACCAATGGGATTATCTTTTTAAAAATCCTTCCTCCTTCTTACTTTTTTCTGTCGTATAATCATAAAATGGTTTGAGTTGGAAGGGACCTTTAAAGATCATGCAGTTCCAATACTCTTGCTGTGGAGAGGCATCTTTCACTACATCAGGCTACTCAAAGCTCCATCCAACTTGACCTTGAACACTTCCAGGGATTGGGGTATCCACAGCTTCTCAGGATATGATTGGCTTTTTGGGCTGCAAGCGCACATTGCTGGCTCATATCTAATTTTTCATCGACAAATATCCCCAAGCCCTTCTCTGAAGGGCTGCTCTCAATCCATTCGTCGCTCAGCCTGTGCTGATACTGGCAATTGCCCTGACCCAGTTGCGGGATATTGCACTTGGCCTTGTTGAACTTAATGAGATTCACATAGGCTGACTTCTCCATCTGGCCAAGGTCCCTCTGGATGGCATCCCTTGATGCTCCCATATTTGGCTTCCTATTCCTTCTTGGTTTGCTTCTTTTACTTGCTTGGTTTACTTAGATATTGGATCATGACATAAGCAAAATATTTTGTTCTTATTTAATCAATCTGAAAAACAAAAATATGAAAAGTTTGATAATTTTTTGTTATGCTGATTTCTATTGTTTTAGTATAATCAATAAGGTAAAAATCTATGTATAATACATATTAAGAAAAGTTTATTCATAAATATAAGCAGTCAAATAATTGAAAAAATCAAGGGGCAGAAATTATGTTTAATGTTGAATAATAATAGTTCAGTGACTCTTTATATTAGTTGAGTAGCTTTCTCTTTTCTTTGGCATGAATATGGATATCAATTAAAAAAATATTTTTGTTCAGTAGGGAGAGATGCTTTAGATCACAGAAATTATATTTTCCTATTTCAGAATTTGTATTTAACTTAAGAGAATTTAGGAGCTTGTATTTTCTATAGAGCATGTAAGGCTTTGAGAACTTCCAGATCCATCACAGCGCTCGTATGAGATGCCTAAATTTTAATAAAGTGAAGAGCAGTAATTCTCAGACTATTGTTTACTAGCTTATAGGGATTCAGAGTCTTGAAGTTAACAGCACTTTGAGTATTAGGCTTCCAAATGTGATCCTGAATTTTCAGGAGGAGCGGATATTTGCATGTGTATAGATTTAATAAGGGGGAAAAAAAAAGCCATCTCTAACTTCCTTTTCTATACTGTTCAAAAAGCACATGAAAACTGCCTGAAAAGCAGCCCCTTATTTTATTTGAAGCAGTAGGGTAAATTAAATTAATCCTATGTACTTCTGAACACTTTCATACTTACTGTTCACAGCAGTGCTCAACTTCATTAGTGAGGTATCACTGAGGAGAGAACTGAATCAGTGCAGAAAACTTCTGCAGAGTTGTTAACTGTGCAGTAACAACTTTTATTTTTCTAGGGCTACTCTCCAGGTATTAAGTACTTTTCTGCTAGTTATGCATTCTCATGATTGTGCTATAGGTCTATTTGGTGTTTTGTTCTCCTCTGATATAAAAGATATTTAGAGTTAATTAATGCTCCTATTACAATTGCAATACTTAAGCTGAATGTATTAATTTGACTTTACTGAGAGCGTTACCCTAAATTCCTGAAAATAAGTAACATTTTACTCTTCCATTTGCTATATCTTATGTAGATATGTAAACTTTTAATGAAAGTGGGGTTTTTTTTCGTTTTTTTTTTTTTTTGAGTTAAACTTCCATTTGAACACATTCTCTCTACTAGAAAGTTGTTTTTTTTTTTTTTTTTTTTCTTTTTCGGACTCTACAAATGGTTGCTAGATTTGTTTTTTTAAGACCAGAAAAATCAAGGTTTCTCATGTGAATCAGTTGTAAACTTTTATAACAATGACATTGACCTGGTGGTTAATTTGACAGTGTTTTAATGAGACAAAAGTTTACAGTTGTCAGTTACTTGGCATACTTGCCTTGATTATTTTCTTGATATATGTAGGCTTGCGTTGTAGCAGTTCAATTTGACACTAACAACTGACCTTTTCAATTTTGAATTGACTAATGTTTCTGCTACTTGAAGGCTGAATATATAAAAAGCCTCAGTATGATGACTTTTGTATTTTTAGTGAAAGCTCTACGTATCTACTTTTTGCATGTGTTGAAAAGTAAAGAATATTTTTCCTTCTATCATTCATAAACTCCAAAATTATGAGAAGTGTACTTAAATGTTTTTTGTTCAAGACAAGATTGGTCAACTTAGTTTGAGAATATAAGTACAGCCAGGAGTAATATTGAGTTTCTGGTGTTGTTACAGTAAATGTCATTTAACATCTTAAGCCTGTGCTCAGGAAAACGCGTACAAGGCAATCTGGTACCTTGTATACTTATGACAACATCTGAAAAAGTCTAATACTTTGATTGTTCAAGTCACGGAGGCAGGAAATACAGCTCTTCTGACACAACCCATTTTGATGTGTTTAAGACGACGATGGCAACAACAAAAAATTGTGCTTTGCCGAGTTCTTCTTGTAGAATCAAATGAATGCTTCTACTCTCTATTTGTCATCTTTCATCACTGTTCCTCAAGCAGGCAGTGTAACGAATGGAAGAGTGCTGTTCTTCTGTACAGCTCTAGTTGGAGATGCCTGCACCTTCTAACTTTTCCCATTAGAACCAAGAAGAAGTACAATATTGAAGCAAAGGTGCAATTCTTCCTTTTCCAATTAAGTTTCTTGTTGTGGTTTGAGCCAACCAGCAACTAAACTCCATACAGCTGCTCGCTCACCCTCCCCCACCCCCA